CTACATCAAATTGCACCAATAGCTAAATAAAACAGTTTCTTCAGCAGTTATGTATTTCCCCATTAGACCTCCTTTTAAATAGGGGCTGTCTTAGACTGAGTTCTCTAGAAAAGCAAAACCAGTGAAGCTTTTATATAGAGAGAAATTTTCTCAAGGAAATGGCTCATGCAGTTGTAGAGGCTGGCAAGTCCCAAGTCTGCAAATCAAATGTCAAGCTGGAGGATTCTCCTGACTCATGCAGCTTCAGGGACTGATAAACCTAAGACTGGCAGGCGGTATAGCAGGCTGCTGGCTTCAGAGGATGACAAATCCAAGATCATCAGGTAAAATAGCAGATTGTTGGCTGGCTCACAGATTGCGAAGGCACAATCCCAAGACTAGTAGGCAATAGAGCAGGTCACCAGGTTAAGTCCAGGAACCAGAGATAATGATGAGCTAGACGCAGGATCAAGGTCCAGCAGAAAACCAGAGAACTCTCCCAGGACACCCATATATAAATCAGAAGGAAGCCACACCCCTGAGGAAACTCCTTCTCAACTGACTGGCTGCTCAAAACACATCTCATCATAAAGGTGATTACATTTTATCAGATCTCATGATGGGAAATGATTACATCATAACAGCTAAACCACTTAAGAGTCATGGCCCAGCCAAGTGGACACACAACCTTAACCATTACATGCGCTAGGGTCTGTGTGAGTTGTCTAAGCATTTCAACAGGCAGGGGCTTGCAGGTGAATGTGTGGCTATTGTCCTCCACAATGCCAAAGAAAGGGACCTTTATTCTGGGACTGAAATGCTGCCTTGCATCACCAACATTCTCCCTGCTCCCAAGTGGAAATTCACCTCACCTTTGCTCTATCATACCCCAATACTTTCATTGGAAAGCCTTCCAGAGATAATCCCTTTCTTTAGAAACCTATTCTTATTCTCTGCCCTGAAGAAAAAGCAAATCTGTCAACAACTGCTTACCTGGGCGAAGAAAGGCAGGAATCTCCAAACCAGTTCTTCAATGAATCATGATTGAATTCCTTCTCTTTTAGTTTTAGGAATGGGATTTATGGTGAAATGAGTTCTTTTATGTGTCCTTTTCCCTTGGTTCTTTGGAAAAACAGTTTGAGAGATTTTTCCCCTAAACCCTGAGGATTTACCTTTGCCCTAGTTTTTTTCTCTACAGGGTTTGTTACTTTTGTCCAGGTTGATTGACATTTCCTGGGTAAACAGTAAACAACTTGGTTTTGATACTTTTTGTCTGGTCCTGGGCTGCAGCCTGCCCTGTGATCAGGATACACCTTGTAGGGATTGATCAAGACTATGCAAATGAGGTGAGTTGTAGCCTACCGTGCAAAGGAAGTCTGTGTGTGTTGCTTGTGGCGCCCCTGCTGGAATGGACTATGCCTTAAAATTGATATGCTGTGTATATAAGCAGCCAACCCTACAGAGCTTTTTAGAGCATGAAAACAGGAAGCAGCAAAAGGAAGAAGAGAGAAGTAGAGGAGGGATGCAAGGGACCGTGAAAGAAGCTGTAATGTCGTTTTCAGGGGCTGTAACACAGAAGGCAGAAAGAGGCCCAGAAGGGACCTGGCAGCAGAGCTGATGACGACAGGCCTGAAGGGGTCCAGCACCCCTTCAGTAACAGTAGGTTACTGGTAGTAACAGTAGGGCCAAGAGCCTGGCCTTATAGGGGCCAAGAGGAGGTATGTCCTGAAAGAGACCTGCACAACCAAGAGGGGCTGAGAAAGCTGACCTCACGGGAAAAGGGAGACTTTGTCTTCATGCTTCCTGATCCTGTTCCCGACTCGTACCCTGTTCCTTAATAAATCACTTAAATGTAAGAAAGGTGAGTTGTGTGTAGCCGTTATAAAGGATTATCAAACCCAGTAGAGAAGTAGCATGCCATTAGGAAGGACGGCTGGTATCAGAATTGGTAAAAATGTTGGAGAGTGGTGGTCCATCTGACCTCTCCACTTTGTTGGAACCAGCCCTGATTCACATTATCTTCCCTGAAGTTAAACAGGTTCTGACCCTACTATTGCTACCATTTTATAGGGTTGTTGCTGTTTGATTTTCCAGTCTGACCCTTAGCCAATCTGTGGTTTTATTCTGATTTCTCCTATTCCAATCTCTTCTGCTTTACACCTTCCTGGAATGTCTCAAAACATCTTTCCCAGCGCTGGCATGCCTTCATTCTTGTATGTTGTCGTTTCACTGGATCCAAGGGAAAGGGGCAACAATCACATACTGATTGTATTCAACCTGTTATCTGTAACTGAAAGCCCCAGTATTAACATGAAGAATATAAAAACTAATTTAGAGACCTGTTGCTGGTACCAATCTCTTTATTCTGTTTAGTAATTCTTTCCTCTAGTGTGTTAATTGCTAAACAAAAATCTATTTCAAAAAGGAATGTGTGAATTCTTAATTGACCTTGGGCAACCCAAATTCTCATGGAATTAATCCCAGCCAATTGGACCTGACAAACTCTTGGTTCAAAAAAAACACCTACAATCAGCCATAAGATCAAATAGGAGTCAATTATGTAATTCAGAAGCACCATGACACCAATAACCAGAAGAATCACATGCCTACCACATGCCCTAGAGGACTCAACATATCCAACCAGTAAAACTCAGACTTACAGAATTCAGCTCCAAAAAAAAAAGATTTCAAGTCATGGTATTTTCCTAAAAAGACTTTGATAAACCCTATTTATTATTTGTTCATTTGTGTAGAGTGTACATTAAGCTATTTAACTAGTCATTTCTTCAAGTAAGTAAGTTTTCCAATTTGATTATTTGCATATTCAATCTATACAACTATAAAGGAGAAAAATTACATTTATTGAGGGAATTTTTATGTTGATTACTGGTTTAATTTCCAGTTGCTTAAACTACATTCACATCTATCAGTTACTTTGGTATTTTTCTTGTTGTTTGCACGATTCAGGTACATCTTTCCTCTGAAAATTCAGCATTAAGAGTTAAAAAGGAGGGTAAAAAACCAAGTATGGAAATAAATATTCAGAATGGGAAAAACAAGCAAGATAAGCGAGACTTGGAAAAAACGGACAGATGTTAATATAAAGTTAACCACGATTTTTAAAATGGATTTTTCTTTTTTTTGGCCTTACTTTTATTTAATAGTCTACACACAATTCTCAGTCTAAAATTCAAGGCATGGCTTTCTTACTGCAAAACAAAGTATAATTTCCTAGAACCCACTGCTATCAAGTCAATTCTGACTCACTAACTCAGGGTAGAATTGGCCATAGGGTTTCCAAGGATGTAAATCTTTACAGAAGCAGACTGCTTCATCTCTCTCCTGCAAAATTGCTGGTGACTTCCAACCACTGACCTTTTGGTTAGCTGCCCAATGCTTTAACCACAGTGCCATCAGACCTCCTTTTGGAAATAATTAGGGTAACTAAATATAATAAATTTTCTTCAGTTTCCAAATTAAAGATGATTAACCAATATGTTTTTGTTAGTTGCCATTAAATCGATTCCAACTCATGGTGACCCCATGTGGTACAGAGTAGAATTTCTCCATAGAATTTTTTTGTATGTAAAAATCTCTGCTTTTTCCCAACTAGGCCTAAAGAGGAAGGAATACTTGCTCCTAGCAAGCAAGTACAAAACTGTATTTTACACCATCTTCAAACTAGCAAAATGTGTGAGGGAAGGAGGAAAACACAGCAAGAGAAACTATCAAATGGTACACAAAGTCTTATCAGGATTTTCAGCCTAAAGTGATCCTGGAATATGGCTTAGGTCAACATGCCTTACTGATTATATACAATATACTCTATACCTCATAATAAGCTTATAACAATAAAATGACAACAGAGAACATGAGGTTATAAATATTGTATTTCTTTCACTCACACACAATATTGCATGAGACATTTACTAGCTTTAATATGTATCCATAGGATTAATACTCATACGGAGTACAACATGGAAAAGTGCAGAACTAAAGAAGTCTATTTGAAAACAAAAGCACACATTGCTTAGGATTTAAAAATATTGCACGTAATAAGGTTGCACAGAAATTACTGGCTGTTTTTACAAACAGAATGAGGTATTAGTCAATCTCTAGATAAAGATGAGTGCAGAGAAGAGGAACCACACAACACATAAATCCGTATTAAAATCTAGAGTGTCAACAACCAAGGAAGAAATATGCAGAGATGTGTGAAGTAGCTATGATTTCAACACTACAAAATCATTAGCTAGGGGCCAAACAAGTAATGATCTCTTGGCAGTACTTCATACGTTTTCAACTTTCTTTCAACTTAAATGACCACAAGCAATATAATAATTTCTTTTACTCCACATCGATTATAGAAAGACATGGGTTCTATGGTCAATATCAAACCATATCTTAGCTTTTCTAAATTTTAGTTAAATTAGGAAAAACTCAAGAAATTTTTTAAAAAATCTCTCTGGAAAGTTAATCAATTTCTAAGCCTTTCAATGGCAATTAACCAAGATACTGCTCTCCTTTGCTGACTCAATTATACAGTCAAGTACACTCAGCAACCCAAGGCAGAGATGCTATAGAGCATGCAATTTTAAATTAGTAAAGGTTTCACCTCAATAATTATACAAGTTCACACAACTGAAATCTACTGTAACTTTTTAAGTTTAAATGTGTTTCTGGCAAACTCAATCTTTCTTGGTAATAAAACTAGCTATAGTAATGAAACCAAGGGCAGATAGATTTTTAAAAAAAAAGGCAGATTTTAGAATACCTTTTTCTTTTAAAAGAACCTTTACTAATCCAAAAAAAAAAAAAAGCTAATAATTAGCTACTTCTCTAACTAGCTGAATGCTGAATTTGTCAAAAACAATTTAAATATACTTAACAGCTATATTAAGTTGTTCAAAGTAAGTGAAATCATGCACTTGTCAAAAACAGTTCACAGAAAATTGCTTTGCATCAAAGACATTGAGGAAAAGTCAACTAGTTGGATTTAGTTAAAACAAGAAAAGAATAAACTACTGTCCTGAACAGTCAGTGTATGTAGTAACCATATTTCCTCTTCGTTGAGTGACAGTCCTGCAGTGCTTGCTAGATCCATGGAATCTATTTTCAGTCTGTACTGTATGCTGATTGGTAGTGTCAAAACCACTAAAAGAAAACATTTTCTCCATATCTTCAAACATGTCATCAAACAGTCCTCCTCCAAAAGAAAACTCCTGGAAATGATGCCTCTGTCTACTGGAACCATCCTGGCGTGTATGGAAATGATTTTCAAAATGCTTCTTGGACCGAGTGTTTTGGTTTTGACCAAAAAAACCAAAGTCTTTAAATAAGTCATCAAAATTGAAGTTAAATGACTGCTCAAAAGGACTCCCACTACC